GATGGTTTATTTGTCTTTTCTTCCCCCTCCACTTATTTAGATGAAATCCTTTCTGCTGATGCCAAGCCAAGCTGTCAGCACATTTACCTCTATTAAAAATGTAGGTGTTCTAACAACAAAACAGTCAAAGCTAAAAACCTGCCTTTTAGAAAACACTCTTACTCAGGACAACTTCCTCCCATTATTCTGTCCTGTAGGCAATTGAAATCAAGGTTAGAGCTTGTAAATGTTCATCTTGACTGTGGTATTCAAGTTCAGAGTTTTGACAGTCAAGACAGCAGGCAAAGGGAATGATAGTATCATTTAAAAATTCACTCAAAATTTTACCAATGACAGAAAGAAGAAAATCTATCTTTGTGGCAAATTGGTAAAATGATCGAAATTGCATTTTTTTCCTTCTTTAGATATTTTTATGCCCCTGTAGTGTGCTGGGATGAGTGACAGTTAGCAAGCTTATATTTCCCTTGTCCTTTTTTGTACTGTGTAACTTTTCATAGCATAATGAATTTAGGGAATACAACAAGTGAATGACTAAAAAGAAATATATATATATATATGCCTCCCCATTTTTTTAAAAGCTGAGAAATAATTTTTTAAATATGAAGGAGACGAGAGGCGATGTGGTGCAAATATAGTCTTAATATTGATTTTTTTTAGTCTCTCTCCCTTTCTCCTTCCATCCGGCAGTTTTGTGGAGGATTTTTTGTTTGTGTTTTCCTCTTCAATTATTTAGTTATATGCAAATTGTTGCAGTATTTGCAACATACCGATTCATCTAGCTTGCTACTTTTTCTCTAGCTGAAGCCACAAATGGACATTGAGGGGTCTGGGGCAAGGGTTAAAACAGGAGTGTGCTTCTGAAGTGCTTTGTTTTTTAATACTTTCTCAACTTTATATTGCTTTCCCCTCGATGAACCTAAGATTGTTATAGTTTGTCTATGTAGTAATTCTGATGGATCTCTGGTCTGATTTCCCCTGAAACCTGTTACATGAATGCAAAATATCCTTCAATAAGGAATTTCACTACTTCTGTTCTACGGAACGAGACAAAATTTTATGCCCTTTAAATTGGTCCAGATCTATTTAGTTTATTGAAATTACTTCATTTGACCAAAGCAAGGATATAGGCTGTGACAGTAACCCCATGTTTTATCATACTGTACATGCCTACTGTAGGAAGTCATCAGCATTGATATTAGTTTTTGTTGATATACATAGTGGGCTCCTTAAGTGTGCAAACCTACTGAAAGAAAATTAAAGCAAGTGCTGTCTATGCAGATACTTTTCACATATATATTTCTGTCATGGTAGTATGTTTTAGGAACTAAGTGGTTGTTTCAAAGTCATGTAAATGGGTATAGAGGGCATGTGCTCCCTCTAACTCTGTCCCTATGTCTTTCTATCCCTGGTAGTTCTCACTTTCCTCTCTATTAAAGAAGAATAAAAATGGCTGCAGGCAGAATGTGTTGCACTGACTACACTGAGACTAATAGGTGCTTACTGAAAGTGCTGGGTTTGTTTCCAGTCAAGTGTAACATCAAATGAGTAGAACTCCCTCAGCCTTCCCACTCAAATAATTCTGTCATTTTTATTTCTTCATCATTGCTATCAAAGGGCTGAATTTTGCCCTACACTGCATATACGGTTTGTCCTTTGAATTCAAAGGAAGCACACATGCGTTTTTAGAGGTGATTGTTTCATCTACAGACAGCAGACGTGGTTGTGCAGGCTGTGCCTGTTGCTCGCTTAGACGACTCTGCGTGCGTGTGTTGCATTTTGGCAGAAGAAGGGAAAATTGTATTTGATTCATTTAGGTTTTTTTGTAAGACCCATTCACCACGGGATATTGTATGAATTAGTTGGGGAGCTGAGAGACCAGAATTCCTGGTCTGTCACAAACTGTCTTAGGCAAATTATTAAATTTCAAAGCATCCTGTTTATCATACTCAGAAAAACAGGTCTGGACTGTTTGTTCATTTCAATTGCAAATGAGCCAAGGGCTGTCTGATGCAAAATTTTGTCTATAAAACTTTTTGTGATACCACTGTGATCATGTCTAAAATTGCCCAGTTCTACTAGAATGCAAATATTAATGTGGATTTTAAGATATGAATATATATTTAAATCCTCTAACATGAGGATCTGAAACAATTGGCAAATGAAGCAACTAGTGATTTATCCATCTTCCGATTAATTTTAATCATAGCTGTTTCTTAATTTTGACTTCTCTGGCAATTAGGATTAATTTAATTTATAATGAAGACATAACTGCTGGGTTAGAATAGGATTATGGGTAATTATTAAAGTACAGTTGCAAAGAAATTTGTTTCATAAGCTTTTAAAAGGGTTAGTTATCTGACCAAAAAACAAGATCAATGTGGTTGGTGTTAATTAAAGCAAATAGACTAAGGAATGAAAAAGATTTAATCCTGAATTTATGAATATCTTTAAAAGCTTGCATAGTTAATTCAGCCTGTGTCTTGTGCATTGTTTAGGGAAGAAAAAGTGTGGTTGGAAGACAAATAGAAATAAGAAGTGACCTTCAGCTTTGTAAAGCCTTTAAAAGGAAACTGTTTTAATGGAATAAATGCATCTAAGCCTCTGATATGGGCCTTGGGCAAACCACAAATGACTGGCAATTAGCTTTACTGCATGGGGTTAATTAATAAGAGGCAGCTTAAAAATAGGCATGAAGCATATTTGTCCAGTAGACTGGTGATTGTAAATTATGATAATAATAGAGCATTGATATTTTTACCTTTCCTGAAAGCATTAGAAACATCAGAATATTTGTTATCTCTAGCAACAAATGTGGATTTGAATATAACTGCTGATGTTGTACAGGTGAAATAAATGCCACTTTCCTGCCAGGGAGCAAGGAGAGGTATTGCAATATGCTGAGAGCCAGGGCAGACAAGGCCAAAGCAGGAATATGAGCAAGTCTGCTTTTACTGGCAAAATCCATGCGTATCACTGCAGAGCTGCTGAGGCATTGCACTTCTCAGCTCACCATTAGATGCCCAAGCCTTTCCCTTTCTTAGGCTTCCTGTCCTGTCAGAACTGGACAAAAATGTGAGTCTTGTCTGCAGCATCTGTGTGTGTGTGTGTGTATTTTCTTGTTTTTAGCAATGTAAGTGCTGGAAGTGGCACCTGCTACAGCTGGAGAGACAAGTTGGATTTTGCCCAAGACACCACCTTCTTTCCCCCACATTATAGCTTGGGTTCAACATTGAAGTTTTTAGGCATATGTCCTCCAGGGCACTGCAAAAAATTCCCTGGTGAACACAAAAAAACAGATATGTATCTTTTGTGCTCTTTTCTCATTCCCTGTTTGAGCCTAATGATTAACAGATGTCCTAAAGATGATTTTTTTATAAGACCAATATATCTTTTAATTGCCTTAATGGCTGTTACTGTTAGCCATAAAGAACCTTATTTCTTCCTGAATCCCTTATGTCTCAAATAATTGATTAGTAATTAATAATGATTATAATAACAAGCATTCATAAAATGAATTGACATTTTATGTTAACATTTTTATATGCTATATAATTTTATGTATAATGGTATAAGTAATGATGAATTAAATCTGGGAGTCAGAACAAATCTCAGAGTCATACACAGAGAGATGAGTATATCAGAAGTGTGCTTATGTTTGCATACTGGCGATACGAGGTTGGTCTGTTGGAGCTCTCTGCACATACAGAGGTTTTTTTCAGGTTGCTGGTGTTTGCTAGCTCCTAATAGCCTTGGATGCAATGAAGCAAATACCCGCTTAGACTGTGGGACTTAAGAGATGGTGGAAGGCTGAGGAAGACATTGGCTGTTAGTGTCATGAAGGTTTTTGCATCTGTACTGCAATTAGGCACAGGCATGAAATGTGATTAAATTGCCCAAGTTATGGAAGAAATAAACTAAAAGCTGCACTTAAAAGCAATTTACCCAGTTAAATGCAGAAACATTTACTAAGGATAAGATGAACTACAAGAAAATCATGTCTTCAGCTAGCACAAATCTAGGCAACATCAGTGACTTTGCTACTGACTTAAAACCAAGGAAAGATCTGGACCACAGAAAGAATTTTGCTACCGAGTTGCAATAAACGACACCCTAATGAAGTGCTGGTGTATGACATGAACTGGCTGTCTTTGTTTTCTAACTGCCTTCCCAGCAAAATTGTACCAGCTCTTTAAACAACTTATTTTTCAAAGGCAAGCATATAGTGTGAAAGACATTATCTAATATACAGTAAAGGGAAAGGGGGGAAGCGGGGGGAAGAAAAGAAGACAGGAACATGCTCTGTTTCCATTTAGGCTGCTCTAACTCCATTACTATCTGGATTTATACTGCTGTATTTTAGATCTGCATTCACCCCTTGCCCTGTAGTCTTAATTTGTCTCCAACAGGTACCTTTCTATTCAGTTCCCAAGCTGCATGCTGTTATGTTTCTTCTCTTCTTTAATAATTTGCTTCACAATCATACTACAGAGGAGTACTGACCAGAATGAGAAAAAGAAGAAAGAGTGCAGAACTCATAACAGAAGCATATTTTTCCTCTCTTTTCCTCTTGCTTTTGAGGTTTTCATGTTGTTTGTGTTACCATAGATGAAATGCCGCCTAATTCTGATAAGTGATTCCTGTTTAGTTGGAGGACAGTGGGTTCTCCTTTGAAATAAGTTCTTGATAACATTTTCACCTTTTATTTGTCCACCTGCTCTGATCAGAAAGTTGGTGACACTTTAATTGCTCACAAGTGGAGAAGTGGAATATTTTTGAGAGGTTGCATCCGCTTGTAGGATACATTCAGATATTGTTGTCTTCAATGCTTATGTTTGAAGTGAATCACAGATCAGAGGGATAAGTAATATTTTCAGGCACTGTGAAGTGATTCAGCCCTATGAACTTTCTTGAACTGGAAAGGAAGGCAATTTTGTAGTTTCTTGCGGCACATTATTTCATGATTCATTAATGTTCATACTTTTTTTAATGTCTTCCTTTAGATGTTTGCCCAACTATTGTGAACATGGAGGAAAATGTTCTCAGTCCTGGAGTACCTTTTACTGTGATTGTAATGATACGGGCTACACAGGAGCTACCTGTCATAACTGTAAGTAAGCCCATGCATATGGTGTTTTCTGTTACAGCTGGTTTGTCAAAATGCACAAATTCCGAGATGTCACCTCACAGAGTATTATAGGATGTGGCATGCCCTGATGAGATAGAAAAAGCTCAGGTGTTGGGCTAGGAATAGCAAAGGAATCCATTTGCAGTATGCATGTTTCTTGGTAAATATTTTGGAGAAAACAAAAGCAGACTTTTTTATTTCTTCTTTCTTTTCAACTTGTTTTTCACATTTTTTTCTCATATTGTACACTGATTTGGAGAATCTTAGAAAAATACATGTATGTACCTGCTCATAGAGAGCAGGAGAGATAGTCATTAGGCATTTAGTTGAATTTAGCAAGGGTTAGTTTGTTTGAAGGGTAGTTTTAATCTGTAATTGAGACTATATGTCAGTTTTGGCACCAGTAATGAATGCCAGTGATGCAACAAATATTTACTCTTTGGTAATATATCTGCTGTTGATATTTAGTGCCAAGTAGATGCAAGCATATACAAGATGGATGGGCCTTTGTTTTTGGTTATCTGGAAGCTCCTATACTAAGCACCCTGATTTTATAAGAATCTTATGAGAATTTTGGACCTTTGCTATTTGGTCTGCATTTTTTTTGCTGTTTTTCAGTATTTGAATTGATTTTGTATTGAGTCATTACAGTTTATGTGATCTATTGTATTATTATGGACGTGTTAAAACAAACAAACAAAAAAAACCATGGTTTTCCCCGAAGTTCTTCTAATGGGTCTGTAAATATGGTGGTGAGGAAGCTTTGTGTGAGACATGAGGAGGCCATCCAAATTTGGCCAGCTCGTGAGCCTATGAAAATCAGTTTGTGTGTTTTCAGTAGAGATTGGGAGCCTCAAAAACCCCAGGACTTCAGTGAAGCACAGCCCCTGCTGAATATGCATCGTTCTTTCAGGGAGTGAGTGAGCATATTGTAATTGAACAGTAAGGATGAGGTGCAGGAAGTACCAGGAACTCAGCTGATATCTACAACGCTAGAACATTATCTGTATCTACAGCATCTAAGTGAACACTTCTTTAGTAAACAACTAGTGTGTAATTTCAATCTGAATTTTCTTTGCCGTTATGAGTAAGCACATCATATGTGAAATAGCAGTAATATGTAAAACATGACAACTGCTGAAATCTGCAGCAAGGTGAATAATATATTAGAAAAACAAATATATGTGTGTGTGTATATACAGTGTAAAACAGTAGAGATACAGAACACTAGGAATGCCAATAAAAACAGGCAGAAGGAGGAAGCCAAAAATAGAGCCTGTTCATACAACTGAACTAAAGGGGAAATACTTTTTAAAAATGAAGGTAAAACTTTCTATCTTGTCACCAAAGAAGAAAACAGGGAAGGAACAAGTGAGATTAACAATTCCAGGAATCGTACTATCACTGCCCCGGTTGTTTGACGAGCATTTATACCACACATAGGATGAGACTGGTGAGATGCATTTTTTCCCCTTTAAGCTAAAAAGCAGAAAAGGAAAAAAAGTTACTTAGTGGTTTGAAGCTGAGAATATTGGCAACCGCACTGCAATTCCAGAGACCTTAATGCTTTGCTAATTAACGATGAAATCATTTGTGGCACAGGGCATGCAGCTTAGGGAAGGGATCGTTGAGAGGTCTGTTTATAGATGAATGTCTTCCAATAGTGGGGACACCTGAACTTCAAACTGTCAGTACAACAGAAGCTAAAGCAGAAATTCTGCTTTGTGCCGAGCCAGATGAAGGATGGTAAGAGAAGTGCTGAGTTACTTAAGGTTCCCTGATGTGAAAACTCCCCCAAAAGTTTCCCAGAGATGTGTATTGGGTCCTTGCAGCCGATCAAGCTGCAGACACATGTGGTGTATGCTGTTCAGCTGTTCAGCTTATTTGCAACCATATTATCAACAGCTAATTTGATTCCAGCTAGATCGTGGAGCCAGCTGCACTCTAATCCAAGCAACACTGATAAATAGCAACATTAAGCTGGTAAAATGCATTTCATGTGCTTGAGATGTATGATGAAACTATTTCAAAGCCGGTGGGCAAATGCAGGCTCTTGATAAGAAACCTAAAGAACATGAGACGTTATCGCTTTTAGCTGATAGCAGTTGACATACAGGAGTACCTTGTAGCCTGTGAATGAAAGCCTCAGATCTGATCACAGTTGTAGCTGCAGAATATCCTTCGTAAACAGGCAGCTCCTCCAGTCTTGTAATTTAGTGCAGCCCTATCAAAGTAAAATATCTAATTTCTTAAGGTTTGAAATATCTCAGCAGGTTTTGATTTTTACATTAACCTGGAGGCAGACAGGCCTGAAATGGAACTTCTACCAATGTAGAGAAGTCATTTCTTCTATTAAACTGCCTTTCAGACCCCAAAAAACCACATCTGTACAGCAACAGTAGGAAGATATGGCTAACAATCTGTTCAAAGCCAAACATCATGTGAATAGTTTGATTGTGATCTGGATTTTTTTTTCTTCATCAGTGTTTTTTATTTTTTAAATCCTTTTTTTAGCGGGATGGGGGAGGAAGGGGAGCTCATTTTTAAGATACGGGCGTGCTACTGGTTTAACAATGTAAAAGATGACTATTCTTTGCCACGTTTTCAGAGGAACTGTATCATATGTATCTACAAACAGGAACTTTTTGATTTAATATTTTATTAGCTTCGGTTGGGAGACTTTACCATTTTAAGAACTCTAACTTACTGTCATCTGTCATGTGCGACTAATGCACTTTGGTGATATAGATGCTATCTTATTAGTTTCTTCAAGCATTCAAAGAGCACACTGGTTCACAATGGGAGAAACAGGTAATAATATGGACTATTTTATACTCCAAGGAGTTTATGGTTAAGTTTGAGGAAAGAGAACAGACAGGCTTAAATAGGTGATGGAGCATCAGAAGGCAGCGAGAAAGTCTTCATCAGCATTGTAGGTAGTACGTAATTATTGTTAGGCTTCCTTGTAGTCAAAAAGTCATAAGATAGAGATTAGAAAGAGGAAGAAATCGAATGGTTGCAGGCGTGGAGGAGTGACATGGGAAAAAGCAATAATGTGCTTGTTTGGAACATGTAAGGCTATGGCGAGAGGAATTTGACATTTTTGACGAGGCAAAAACAGGTGTCATGACAGGGAGACATGATGGAAATATGTCATGAAAAGGAGGGATAAATAGTTTGCATTTAATGTAACACAGGATGAGTAGACAGTGGCAAGACAGAACAGTAGGTTGATAAAAGAGACAACTTTGGATGATTTTTATACAGCCATGTCAGATTGTTATAAGTGGGACAAGATTTTGTCATAACTGAAGATGGGACTAGCTGGTACTCAAGACCTGAGTGGGTAAAGAGGAAAGTACACACCAGTGTAGTCTTTCCAAGAGACAATTGCTTTTCTGCATAACTCATATCCCACTGCTTACTCATAAGTACTTATGCTTCTAAAGCTCCTTCCTCCAAAAAAAAAAAAAAAAAAAAAAAAAAAAAAAACACCATTCAGAAGACTAGTTCACTCATCTTCTTTCCCCCTACTATGGCTTTTTGCTCTTCCACTTTCGCAGTTGTTCTCACATCTTTTCTGTTATTTCTGCATATCAAATCCAGATGTGTCTACTACACCGTCATCCCATTGTCCACATCTCAGTCTAAGAACAGACTGCAGCTACATGGAGAATTACTAGCTATGGCTGTAGATTGGCTTAGCAGCCAGTTCTAGGTTCTTCACCATGAATCAAGGTTTTATCTGTTCCTTGGAGATGGCTATGCCAATTAAACCATTACAAAAGGCATGGCAATATATGTGATCCAAGATGACGCTTCACCATGGAAAGGGTAGAGGGTTATTATTTATTCCCCTAAATAATGATCTGTGGCAGACAGGTTTCACTCCAAAGTCTCATTTTTTTCTCTGTTCTCTTTTTTCTTTTTTTTTTTTCCCCCCCCCTCTGAATTTGGCTATGAATTCTAAGACAACAATGTTAAAACCCACTGGTATTTTCTAGGTCTCAGTACTTTATGGGAAGAGATGGAATGTTTACTAAACCTGTTCTTTCTGTCTTGCACAGCTTGTTGCTTAATGTACAACCCGTTTTTTTTCTGTTTACTACCGCTAATCCTCCTTCATAAGCTGCACCATGTGGAATATTATCACTGCCTTCCGAATCTTTTGGGTTTCTTTCCCTCCCATGTGGAAAAAGAATTTGAACTTACCTCCTGTTGTGGCAGCTTCCAGTGCAATTCACATCTCCTTGTCAGCTAGTCACAGCATTGATTAGCAATTCTGTTTTCATTTCTGTACTGTCTGAGCTGTGAAACTCCAGCACAAGTGCCCATGCCTTGCTGTCATGTGCACATGTGGCTATGAAACTCGGTGGGAATTGCGGAGCTCATGCTGACTGGCCCCAGGTTCCTGTTCACACTCTCTTCTGGGGCGAGGAGTCTCACAAAACAGCCCTATATGACATAAGGCAATTGGAGGGGACTGGGGTTAGCTCACCTATGAATTTTGATTTCTTCAGTTTCTCAAACTCAGTGGGGAATAATATCCAATTTACAGGTATAGGTGTGTGATCTGTATCCTCTGAAATTATATGGATTCTTTCCCTTGGCAGTATTATTTGCTCACTGTTACTTGAGCTGATCTGCAGCTAAGACAATACTTTGAAGATGCATTCTTTTTTCAAGCCTGTAAAATACTGCTTTTTGGTCTCTTAAATGTGCTTCCCATAGCTTGCATTCACATGGCTTCCCTTGGCTGTTAGGTGATTAGCTCAGCTGAAGTCTTTTTTTTTTTTTTTTGATAATTACCTACTGTGCAGTGAGTAACCTACAGGCTGGCCCATTAGTTACTGCAACAGTCTGATACAAATAGGAGAGAATCCTTTATGCCATCCATATTGCGAGCCTTAGGAAAATAGATAATATTGTATTTCTGCCTTCTGCTTTTCTTTTCTAGATAGAAACACTAATGTTGGTAAACA